TATATGTATATGTGTGCACCATATGTGTGCCTTGTGCCTGAGGGAGTCAGAAAAGGATCCCCTGGATCTGGAGTTATGGATGGTTGTAAGCCACCAAGTGGGTTCTGGGCACCAAACCCTGGTCCTCTGAAAGAGCAACAAGTGCTCTTAACCATGGAGCCATCCCTCCATCCCCCATTCATTTCTTCCTCAACTCAAGGATGTCAAGTTTATAAGAGATCAAATGACCAATCAGAGGCCAAATGATTCAGACCACGTGTAACCTAGTTCAGTGTTGGTACAGAGCATTGCCAAATTCAGACCCCTGAAATCCAAAACATGGTCTGTGCTGATGTCTGGTATCTGCCATTGATGTTGTGAATAAAGGCTTTGTTTTGGTTTTTGAGACAATTCCTCTATCTGTTCCTGTCTGGTTGTCCTGGAACTCACTATCTAGACCAGGCTGGCCTTGAACTCACAGAGAACAGTCTGCCTGAGTGCTAGGATTAAAGGCATGTGCCACCGCCACTGCCACCCAGCGTGAATAAAGATTTTCAACTGAGTGTTCATTGCAGAAACTTTGAGCACCTTCCCTTATCAGTAACCAGCAGAGTCCTCATCTCAGATCTGTGGCCAGTTATGTGCACAGCACACAAGTGTGGACATTCGGGTGTCCTTTAATTCCACTCACAAGCTTCTTGGTTTCCTCCATTCTGAATAAAGCAGGCCATGTGGCTTATTACCACCACCAACTATCCTCTGTGACCAAAGGAGCGTGGACTGTTTCCATCCTCTCTTCTCCTGGCATGTCCTTTATCCTCATCGATTCAAACCTCTTCTCATGGGGGGTGGGGCATAGCTTAGTGGTAGAGTGCTCGCCTGGCATGTGTGAGGACTTGTCAATTCCTCATAGTACAAAACAATAAAACCCTTAACAAACAAACAAACAAAAAGCTCTTCTAATTTTAACTCAACTCGCCCATCTTTGTGGTGTCTTCCATGGCCAGTGCATGCTGGACACAGGGAAAGACAGTCCGTCCCCCCACGCTCAGATCAACAGAAAGCAACAGGGAGCTCTCTGATGCCAGGCAGACCGCAGAACCCTGAGACCCCAAACGGAGTAACAAGAAAAGGGCTGCTGAAGCCCCAGGGTGGGGACAAGTTGACCCTTCTTCTCGGCAGGTGCTTGAGAAACACTTGTCAAAAGACTCCTCTCACTGGCCCGCTTTCTCATTCACGTCTCCAAAGCATGGATGATAACCACAGTCTATTGCTTCATGGCTGACTTCCTCCTGATCTCCTTGCAAAACAGCCTCCCTTTCAGCACTTCGGTCTGACTTGTGGTGGCCCCCTGCCACCCCGCCGTGTTCCCCGCCCCCATAATTTCCTTTCCACACTATTTGAGTGCCTCTCAACAGGGAGGGGGCATGCCAGAACTGCCTGTGAGTTCTGCCAGCCTCCGGCTCAGAATCTTCCAAGTAGGTTGGCCGTCACCACTGCATAGGAAAATCACGTGGCAAGCTGTGAAAAGCACCAGTGCCCAGGTCCCCACACGTCGTATATCACTGGAGTTGGGCTGAACATTTCCCAGAATTTGCTTTTGGGTTAGGGTGGACCCCAGGAGAGGTCTGGGGGAAGTGAAGCAGGACCCTTTAAAGATTCTCGTGCACAGGCACTTACCTGCTGAGTTATCTTGGCGTAGCCTAGCGACCAGCCCTGCACCTGTCCCTTCTCCCTTGTCTCTCCATAGCACCCGAGGCTCCCAAGCCAGGTGTGTGGTTAGCCCTGAGATGAAGGGCCTGGCCTGTGCAGAATGCCCACACCACTAAGGTCAGAGGCACCAGCTGAGAGGAGGTGGTTCGGGACACGGTTATGAACCCCAGCTGGTCCTCATTTCCGGTATTCACGCCGTTTTCCTTCCTGACAGCCCATCCTGTGGACCACCCCAAGATTCTGCATCTGATGCAAAGAGAAATTTCCAGAGACTATGTAGCTACAATGGAATAAGGTCAGATCCCTGCAACAGATAGATATGTGTACTCGGGCTTGCATGTTCATGTGCAGGTGCACATGAAACGCATGTGCTGGTAGAGGCTAGAGGTTAACCGTGAGTGAGAATCCTCAGGCATCATCCACCTTCTTTTTATTTTGATACAAGGTTTCTCATTGGCCTGGAATTTACCGGTTATGCCGGGATGACGGGCAGCAAGGGGTTCACCTGTTTCTGCCTCCTAGTGCTGGGATTAAATGAGAGCTCTAACAGACCCAATTTGTTCCGGTTTGTAAGACCCAGGGCCTCACTACGTAGCTCTGGCTTGCCTCAAACTCAAAGAGATCCGCCTGTTTCTGCTTCCTGAGGAGGAGGATTAAAGGCGTGCCCACCACACCAGGATTTAAACGCGGGTTCCGGAGGTGAGCGGGGTATCAAACTCAGGTCCTCAGGCTGGCATGGTAAGCACTTGTCAGCTGTGCCAACACCCCCCAGCCCAGGAGCTCTTCACAGAGCTTCAAAGCACCCGACACAAACCTAACTGCTACAACTCCACATGACCACGCCCGCGGAGGTGAGGCCCACACTCCTGCAACTGTCAGAAGCTCCCAGGTGTCTCCGAGGGTTCAACACCATCTACCCTGGCATGAGACGTTCCACCTCTCACTGCATCTCCTTGCCAGAGTAAGCCAGCAGGGCTGGTGGGAATCCCCCAGGTGAAGTGGTAACTGCTGGAGGCTTAAAGTCGTGCCCCGCCGCACCCTCTGTGTTTTAAACTCTCCTGTATCCTGTCGTGGAATAATGTTTTAGGATGTGTTACTTTTGTTACTGCTGTGGAACATTTGTTTTAATGATGCAAAAATGTGTTGCATTCTTTTACGTTGCATTTGTTTAACTTTGTGAAGCTGTGTTTTGCTTTGCCTGTACAAAACAACTGATTGGTCTAATAAAGAACTGAACAGCCAATAGCAAGGCAGGAGAAAGGATGGGCGGGGCTGGCAGGCAGAGAGACTATAGAGAAGGAGAAATCTGGGAGAAGGAGGAGGAACAAGAAAAGAAGAGAGAGGACACCAAGGGCCAGCCACTGAGCCTCACAGCCAGCCATGGAGTAAGAGTGAAAATAAGATATACGGAAGTTAAAAAAAGGAGAAAGCCCAGAGGCAAAAGGTAGATGGGATAATGTAAGAAAAGCAGGCCAGCAACTAGTCAATAGTCGTGCCCCGCCCCACCCCATGTGTCTTCTCTCCCTATCCCTCTTTTCCTTTCCCAGAAATCCAACCCCTGAACACCTCACAAATCACTGCCGTCCCCCAGCTTCTAGTCTTTCACCCTTCATTTTACCCCACCTGCAGCTCCTGGAAGAGCATAACACTTATCTGTGCTCAAAAGCTTCCAACCCTCTGTCTCCTTGGCTGATAGTCAAAGCCCCCCAGAGCCTGGCTTCTTCCCACCCGGCCTACCTAACCTTCCATTCCTCCCCCTGTCAGTCTCCTCCTTTAGTCCTTCCCGAAGCTCCATCCGACCATGGAAAAGCAAAGCAGAAATCACACAGTCAATGGTCCTTCCCTGGCTACCTAAACTATCAGGTTAGCACCCCACCTGTAAGACCCTAAGACCGGTGCGATCTCTTGTCTCATCCCTTCTAAATCCCACCTCCGTGATGGGGACGCAGCTCTCCTGGTAGAGCATTTGCCTAGCATGAACGGAGCTCTGGGTTCAGTCCCCAGCTCTGAGTAAAACTAGGCATGGTAGATCAGATATGTAATCTAAGCACTTGGGATGTAGAGACAGGAGCTTCAGGAATTCAAGGTACATAAAGTCCAAGGTCAGTCTGGTCTACAAGAGACCTTGTCTCAAAAAAAAAAAAAAAATCTGCTTCCTGCTTGTTACTACTGAAGATTTGTTTATGTGTATGTGATTGTAAGCACATGTGTGTGCATGAAAGTGTGCAAGCCAGAAAAAGGTGTCAGGTGTCCCCCTCTTTCTCTTTCTGTCTTTTAAGGCAGGGTCTCTCCCTGAACCTGGGATTCACATCTTCTCAACCAGGCTGGAAGCCAGCAAGCCCCGGTGATCCTGTCTCTGCCTCCCTCAGAGCTGGGGTTCTAGGCATGCACCAGACACCCAGATTGTAACATGGTCCACACTTTGGTCCTTGTGGTTGTGAAGCAAGCATTCTCAACTGCTGAGCACTCCCTCCATCCCTGCCTCCTACTTCTAATAGTGAGCAGCTTTAGGTCTACATTTGCATTCTCATAATTCAGGAGAGGGAAGTACAATGAAGCAATAACCTCTCTGGAGAGCTCATCCTCTCCTTTCACGTGCAAGCCCTGTGGTGCCTCCACGAACCTACTCTACGAGCTGAAGGAGGAAGACTGTTTTCTGGCCTTCCACTCAAAATCAGCGGAAACTGAAGGGCATCTTCACCTCCCCCCAGTCAAAGCCAACGCCTGCTCTATCATACCTAATAAGGCCTTCTCAATTGCCAGGACTCTGCAACGGTATGTAAAGTGGTGTTGAAATTTCCTTGTTGAACACAGAGGATTTCCTTATTCTAAGAGTCTTCTGTTAGCCAGCCTTTAATTCCAGGGCTCAGGAGTCAGAAGCAAGTTGACCTCTGAGGTCAAGGCCAGCCTGGTCTACAGAGTGAGTAGACCAGGACAGCAACAGCTATACAGAGAAACCCTGTCTCAAATAACTAACTAATTAACTAACTAACTAACAATAAAGAAGATTCTTCTGTTTGCATGTTGGACAGAAGGCCCTACAGTCAGTATGTCTGCACTCAAGGCTCCTTTCCTGCAAATTCCAAGAGATACAAAAGGGGACCAAGACACCCGAGGACACCCCACCCCACGTTTCTTCTGTAACCCCTACTGTGATACTCGTGTGAAATATGAGGCATTTGACACCTCTCAAGGCCAAAAGCTAAGCTTTTTATGTTATTTCCTCACTTTGTCACTTCAGTTACTCACTCACAGGTTAATGTTTCTGTTCCAATGTTTCCTCCAGATCCCACAGCAGGAATACTCACCCATACTTCTCTGCCAGTTCCCTGGCTTCCTCCTCTTTCACTGCCCTCTGGTCTTCCAGGTCACTCTTATTCCCACACAGCACTATATCCGGGTTCTCACAGTATGCATGCATTTGTAGCTGGCCTGAGATACAGGAGAGTTTGTTATAGTAGTCATGATGTAAACACGAGACCAATAGAAAATATGTGCAAAAGTGCTTCTGAAAACCACATGTGCACATACAGAGGTAAAGAGCTGATAGACTGTTTCAAAGCATCAATAATATAATCTTTAAAACTGAATAGATTATTCCTGTCCTTAACACACACATTAGAGAGATGGAAGAATACTATAACCCTTAAAGTGTGTGAGTGTGTGAGTGTGTGAGTGTGTGTGTGTGTGTGTGTGTGTGTGTGTGTGTGTGTGTGTGTGTGTGTTTTACTAATCTTTTTTTTTCTTCTTTTTTTGGTTTTTTGAGACAGGGTTTCTCTGTAGCTTTGTAGCCTGTCCTGGATCTCACTATATAGACCATGCAGGCTTCGAACTCATAGAGATCTGCCTGCCTCTGCCTCGTGGGCGCTGAGATTAAAGGCGTGCGCCACCACCGCCTGGCTGTGTTTTACTAATCTTAAACCCCTGCTTGTCACTTATTTTATTTTCTCTCAACAGTAGTAATATTTGTAAAGAATTGTTTTTTGTTTTTTGAGACATCCCGTATCCCTCAAGACTGGCCTCCAGCTCACTGCATAGCCAAGGATGCACTTAAATGCCCTTACTGCTCCCATCTCCTGAGGGAATTACAGAATTACAGGTATGTAGTACAGGACAGTTTTATAGGGTGCTGGAGATGGTAACTAGGGCTTCATGTGTGCTAAACACCTACCAATTGAGCTGGATTTCCAGCTCAAAGAAATATATTTCTGTAATCGAACCTAGTTAACATCTGAAATGTTTTTCATACGTCTGTGTCATCCCAAGGCAGGACCAGTCTATTTAAAACAATTAAGAAGCTGGGTGTGATGAGGCTGAGACAAGAGGTTCCATAAGTTCAGTGATAGCCTGGGCTACACAGCAAGACCTTGTCTTACACAAACAGTAACTATGGTTTGATGGTTAGGATTCTGCCCTCACTCGAGTTCAGGATCTTGCGTCTTACATCATCAGGGTGCACTGACGACTACATATGCACCTTAAAAGCTGGACGCAGACCCCACCCTCTCTCTCTCTCCTCCCCAGGCCTGGTCCTCTCCCACTTCCCTCCCAATAAAGCTCTGAAGACTAACACTGGGTTCTGTCGTGACCATGACCTTTCCACGCGGCAACCAGCGCTGTAGGCTGCAACCAGCGCCGTTTATCCTTCTTCCATTGATGACATAAGAAGACAAAGTAAATAGTAAAATGACTGTCACCAAGACCAAGGGGAAGAAGGGTGCTACAGTCATAGTCTATAACTTTTATATCCTTTCATCTAAAATCCTTTAGCTAGGCTTAATTATGAAAAGGAAGAGAGGGGCTGGAGAGGGGGCTCAGTGGTTAAGAGCACATGTTGCTCTTCCCGAAGACCTGGGTTCTGTTCTCACCACCACTCACTTCAGGTGGCTCACCACCAGCGGCTACAATGGCCTCCCGGGGCACCTGCACTCACATGCACCTACCCACACAGACACAAGGTTTAAAAAGTTGTAAAAATGAAATCTTTAAAAAAAAAAGAAAAGAAAAAGAGCTCCAGGGTGCTAAGTAGCTCCATCTTCCAAAGAAGGAAAATAAAACCCAACTTCTCTCTCCTCACACTCCAGAACAGAACTGGAGCAGCTGAACTTTCACAATCCGAGGTCTCCGAGAGCATGACCCTGTGTGTGTTTTCTCACTATCAGCTAGGAGTGTTGACACTCCAATTCCTCCCCACAAAGTCAGGTCATACATATCTTATCGAGAGAAGGTGAAGGAGGAGGAAGTTTCCCCAAGCATTAACACAGGCCTGAATTTCAGGATTTTGTCTTTTGCCTTCAGGGGATAACTTAGGTCACAAGACTTGCCCAGACCCTGTTTCCTGCACAAGCCAGGCCTCCTCTCCCCTCAAGTTGTTAGTGTGCAGTCCCCACACTCTTTAATGCCCAGACACAACTTCCTTCAAGAGTGGCTCCATTGTCTCCTCTGCTGGTCTCCTCTGTGCTCCCTTAGCACCTTCAATGTCCATTCCCATGGTTACGAGCATCTCCTAGAGTTGAAGCAGGACTCTCTTGCCCTGCTACTGGCTGTGCCCACCACCCCCATCCCCATCCCCCTCCCCCAGAAGTTATCAGACCACCTTAGCTTCCTTATCTATAAATGATCTCAACAGTACTTACTTCCCAGGGTCAAGGGGAAGATTAACTAATACACTGAGTCTCTGAGTAAGGTGTGTGGGCTAGCAGCCTCAGCATCCCCTGAGAATTTACTGGAAATGCAAATTCTAGGTCCTACCCAACATCTACTGACCAGGAACACGGATGTGGGGGGACCACCCTCCAAGAGACTCAGACACATACGCACACTCAGTTAATAAACCAAAGCACTTCTAAGACTGTAAGTAACAGTTCACAGTGTCTATGTTGGTGAGTCTCTGAGATGTCATTGCTCTCTCTCTCTCTCTGTCTCTCTGTCTCTCTTTCTCTTTCTGGGGGGAGGATTTTCCAGACAGAGTTTCTCTGTGTAACAGCCCTGGCTGTCCTGGAACTACTCTGTAGACCAGGCTGGCCTTGAACTCACAGAGATCCTCCTGTGTCTGCTTCCCGAGTGCTGGGGTTAAAGCCATTTGCTACCATGCCCAGCTGAGGTTATTGTTCTCATCTCTAAATTTTCGTAATGAAATTTATGAAATAATTTCATAATGATTCATTATTTCATGAAACAATGAAAATTATGAAGTAATGGGTAATGAAGTAAATTAGTTATCTGAAATTTTTCTCTAAAGAAGGACATACCTAAACACCTGCAGCCTGAGGTGAGATATGGTAAAGATCAGATATGTGTTAAAACAATAAAATAAAATAGCAGTCATTAATAAGAGAGGGAATATTCCAGCTAAGATGATCATGGAAAATTTCATGGAAGTTATTTCCAGGTTTTAAAAAAATAAACGTAACTTGGAGTCTGGAACAATGGTTAAAAGCTGGGTGCTTTTCCAGAGGACCCAGGTTCTAGTCCAGCATCCACATGGTGGCTCACAACTGTCTGTAATTTCAGTCCCAGGGGATCTGACGCCCTCTTCTGGCCTCCATAAACACTGCACACACGAGTGCACAGACATGCAAGTAAAATACACACATAAAATTAAAATGTAAATAAGTAAAAAAAAAAACAAAAAAAAAAAACCTCTAACCTGTCAGAAAGATGGGAAAATAGAGGGATGTACAACACAGTGAAAGAAAAAGGTTAAAAGTGAAAAGGGAGGGCTGGAGAGATGGCTCAGCGGTTAAGAGCACTGACTGCTCTTCCAGCTCAGCGATTAAGAGCACTGACTGCTCTTCCAGAGGACCTGGGTTCAATTCCCAGCACCCATATGGCAGCTCACAACTGTTCGTAACTCCAGTTCCAGAGAACCCTCACACAGACATACATGCAGACAAAACACCAATGCACATAAAATAAAAATAAATAAATTGTTAAAAAAAAGTGAAAAGGGAAATGTGTGAGTTTGGAGGTTTAGACTACCTAAAAGTTCTGTTAAGAATCAATGTTAGGGGCTGGAGAGATGGCTCAGAGGTTAAGAGCACTGACTGCTCTTCCAGAGGTCCTGAGTTCAATTCCCAGCACCCACATGGTGGCTCACAACCATCTGTAATGAGATCTGGCACCCTCTTCTGTATACGTAATAAATAAATCTTAAAAAAAAAAAAAAAAAAAAGAATCAATGTTAGAATTCCTGGCCGCTCCCTTGGCTACATGACCACACATGCACTGTCCAGTAGCCAGGCAAGATGCTTAGTCATCCTGGGGCCTTAGTCCTACATAATCCATGTACTGCATGATCATGTAATCCATGCACATGCGTGGTGTAGCTATGTAAGCCCATATGCGCATGTGCGGGGTGCAGGAGTGGGGGGAACCTATAAAAGTGGGTTCCACCTATTCCTTCCCTCTCTTCCTGGACGATCACTCCATAGGCTATGCACACCCCCTCTTTATTCCCTTAATAAACTCGTATAGTGGGTTTTGTTGTGCCTCATGACTTTTCTCGCCCAGTAAACAGCACCACTTAATAAATAACACTGCTCCGCTTAATAAATAACAATCATCCTGGCTCTAGACATGGCCTGCTGAGTCCTTTAACTTCAGGAAGACAGACGGTGACCCAGTTCCAATCATGTGGGCCCAGAGGACTCAGCACTCTGTTCAGGCTCCTGCACAGGGCTGGCTCACCTCGAGGCTCTTCTCACCGCACCCGCCCCCCCCCCCCCCCCCCCCAGAGGACATGGAAGGATTCCCAGCAGAGATAGGGTAGCTCCAGGGGAGCAAAGGAGAGAAGCAGGGAATGTCAGTCATCTGCGGCCCTAAGCTGTTTTCAGGAAAAGACATAACATGGTGTCCAGTCCACTGGGGGCAGTGCAGAGCAGGGCCCGGAGCAGAACAAGGTCTCGGGAGCAGAGCAGGGCCTGGGAAACGGCGATACTCACTTATCCAGTTTCGAACATTGAGGAAACTTTGCTCGTTTGTCAGGTCGAACAGTAGCAGGAAGCCCATAGCATCCCTGAAGAACGCAGTGGTCAAGCTACGAAACCTAGGGCACAAAAACAGACGGTCACCAAGCCACGGCCCCACTCCTGAAATGTCAAGCCGCCCGCGACACCCTCTGCCTTCTGCAAAGATTCATCCGTAATTCCCACGATGCTCACCCAAACTGGCGTTTACCACTCCCAAGACTTCAACGTGAACAGAACGTGTTATTGAACACTGAGCCCCACGGACTGGAGAACTGCCTTGTAACCTTAGTCTCGGCCAGGAAATCACTGGACAACCCTGAGTTCCCGGGGCCAACAGTACTAGCCATGTGTGTTTTCCTCCGGGGAGATTTCATGACACTACGAGGCAATCCTTGGTCTCACTTCAGGCTCTGTGGAAGTCTCTTCCCTCTGACAACCTTTTCCTTACCTCTAAAATGGGGACCCTGTTGAGGTGGACCCAACTCTTTCCTGGCATTCTCTACCTCTGACAGCTTAACCTGCTGTCTCTTTCCTCTTACGGCTTCCTCTCATTTTGCCTAAACGTACAGTCTCTAATGACAGGCAGGCTCCACAGAAGGACGTGGTATGCATTAATCAGCTGTTCAGAAATAGTAGGTTTTTCTCAACTATTTCATTCAATGTTCTTACAAAAAGTCTTTATTGTTTACAGACACAAACCAACACAGCTACAGGTGGCATGGTATGAGATCTGAAATTTGCCCTCCAGGTAATATAGAGGGCGAGAGGGAGAAGTGGTAAGGGGATATAAGAAATAAGATTGGCCACAGATGGCAATTATTGAAACTGAGTAGAATGACATAGATTCAACTGAATCTCCTCTTCACTTTTGTATGCCCTTGGAGATTTCTATGGTTTTTTTAAATCCTTTAAAGAGGGCTGGGGAGATGGCTCAGTGGTTAAAGCGCTTCCTATACAAGCTTGAGATCCAGCGTTTGGATCCCCAGATCTCATATAAATGTCAGGTGGGCACAGCAGATGACCCATAACTCCGGCGCACAGAAGGCAGGGGCGGGTGCTCGAAACAAGCTGCAGACCAGTTGTGTCTGTGAGCACTGGGTTCGGGCGAGCAATCCCGCCTCAATGAATAAGGTAGAGAGCAATCAAAGAAGAGTCCTGATGTCAACCTTGGGCCCCCACATCACACATGCCTGCATACCACAGGAGCGCGCGCACGCACGCACACACACACACACACACACACACACACACACACACACAGGGGAAAAAATCCTTCAAGAAGACTGAGAGAAATCACAGGCTGTAGCTGACTGAAAGCAACCTTGCACCAAGATGTCACATGGTTTATTTTAGTTAAGTAACCTGTGACCAGATTAATTCATTCCAACCAGGTGTTTCACCAGGCTTCAGTATCAGATAAGAACAAGCAAGGAACCTTAGGACTGACTCCCTTACAGGTGAGCAAACAGCAAAAGGCAATGGGGGGAGCCTAAAACGGGAGAAAAAAGGATGAGTCCCAAATAGGAAGGTTTCATTTCAAGGAGACTCACATCTCCTTTGATCTCACAGGAAATATGCCCGTCACTGTCACCTCAGGCTGACAACAGACTGATCCGGCAGCTCCTCTTACCAGGTGCAGATGAGCCAATTGGCTGCCCTTGCCCTGCCCAGGGCAGTGTGGAGAGATCACTGAGGAGCACATACCTCTCCTGCCCTGCCGTGTCCCATAACTGCAGGTGGATTCTCTGGCCTCGGCCCACAGCTCCATCTGGTCCATTAGCTCTGTACACCTAAGACATCAAAGCAAAAATAAACCAGCGGAGATTCTGAGATGGGTGGGCTCTTCCTGACTTTCTGTTCAGCACCAAACCCCAAAGCATCTACACTTCTCAAGAGAACTGAGTCCCTGTTAGGTGTGTGCTTCGTTGCAATAATTGCACTTGGACAGTGGTACCTTCTCCTAAGACATCTACCTAGCTGGGGGTGTAGCTCAGTTGGTACAGTCTTTGCCAGCATCCATGAAGCTCTAGGTTCTGTCCTCAGCACCACAAAACCAGGCCTGGTTGCACACGGTTGCAATCCCAGCACTTGGGAGGCAAGAGACAGAAGGACAAAAAGGTCATCCTCAGCTGTATATCGAACTGAATTTGAGGCCAGCCAAGAATTTATGAGTCCCTGTCTTCAAAAAAACAAAAATGGTAAAAATTTAAAAACAAATAGTTTTATATTAAATTTTTTCAAGGCAGGGTTTCTCTGTGTAGCCCTGGCTGTCCTGGAACTGGCTCTGTAGACCAGGCTGGCCTCATACTCAGAGATCCACCTGCCTCTGCCTCCCGAGTGCTGGGATTAAGGGTGTGTGTGACCACTGCCCCAGCTGAAATTAAGAAAAAAAAAACATTTAAATATATGTGTATTATGTTAGAAATATATTATGAAATATGTAAATAATACAATGATTTATGCCAAAATAACCGTCAATTTGCTTTCTCCCAGTGTCCCCTCAAGCACTCATTTCAAGAAACATTGACTTTCTGTGGGTTTCCCTTACCTCATCTTTAGAAAGTGCTCTTAAAATAATTTTACGGAGCCGGGCGGTGGTGGCGCACGCCTTTAATCCCAGCACTCGGGAGGCAGAGGCAGGCAGATCTCTGTGAGTTCGAGGCCAGCCTGGGCTACCAAGTGAGTTCCAGGAGAGGCACAAAGCTACACAGAGAAACCCTGTCTCGAAAAACCAAAAAAAAAAAAAAATAATAATAAAATAATTTTACGGGCATGGTGGTGCACGTCTTTAATCCCAGCACTCGGGAAGCAGAGGCAGGCTGATCTCTGTGAGTTCGAGGCCAGCCTGGTCTACAAAGCGAGTTCCAGGACAGCTAGGGCTGTTACACAGAGAAATCTGTCTCAAAAAAAAAAATGATTTTCTAGAGACCAGTGAGATGGCTCAGCAGGTAAAGGTGCTTGCCACCCAGCCTGGCAGCCTGAGTTCAATCCCCAGGCTCCACATGGTAAAGACGACCAACTCCCACAAGTTGTCTTCTGATTCCTACACATGAACCACAGCACGTGTGTGCACACATATATACAATAAATAATTAAATACATATAAAAACTAATGGCTTTATAAAGAGACAGAGACAAGCAAATCATTGTGAGCTCTAGACCAACCAAAGATAAATAGTAGGTTCCAGGCTAGCCTTGGCTACATAGTAAGAAGACCCTGTTGAAGAATAGAAAGGAAGGAGGGGGAGAGGGAGAGAGAGGGAGGGAGGGAGGGAGGGAGGGAGAGAGAAAAAACATACACTCATAGGGACACACACAGACACATGATTAAAGATAAGTATTTTTTTATTTTTATTTATTTATTTTTTTGAGACAGGGTTTCTCTGTGTAGCTTTGCGCCTTTTCCTAGAGCTCACTTGGTAGCCCAGGCTGGCCTCAAACTCACAGAGATCCGCCTGGCTCTGCCTCCCGAGTGCTGGGATTAAAGGCGTGCGCCACCACGCCCGGCCCAAGTATTTTTTTAAAGGAGAAAAGTAATATGCACTTTATTTGTAGCCAAAGAGTTTTCTATGAAATGTCCTGAAGGTTCCCAGTTACCTTCCATGGACTGAGCACAACACCCTTTCTTACTGATTTATTTGCTTTCTTTATAGACCTTACTGCTCTCAAACTCCCAGAGATCTGCTTACCTCCAGAGTGCTGGGATTAAAGGCATGCACCACCACACCCAGCCACACTTTCCTCCGTATTCTAATTTTAGGTCCCAACCTTTGGTTTCTTAAATCCTACAAAGCAAACTAAATAGGCCTATTAATGTGCTGACTCAGATTAGATTCTTAGGAAGGATGTAGAACTTACCACTCTCTTTTCCCTGAAATCAATGCCCACCGTGGTGATGAATTTGGAGTTGAATTTCCCATCTGTATACTGGTAAAGTACACTAGTCTTCCCAACTCCAGAGTCTCCCAAGGCCAAAAACTTGATGAGGTAGTCATAATCCCCATCCGACATGATGAAGGACTCAGTGCTTCACCTGTAAGACACAAAGAACCGGAGTTAGCAACATCCACCAGAAATATTAGAATTAGGGCTGGTGGGATGGCTCCGTGGATGAAGTACTCGCCACACAAGGCTGATGACCTGAGTTATCCCTGGAACCCATGTAGAGGTAAGACAGAATCAAATCCACAAGGTTGTCTTCGGACTGGCACATGCATGTCATGGCGCGCGCGCGCTGCTGCGCGTGCGTGTGTGTGTGTGTGTGTGTGTGTGTGTGTGTGTGTGTGTATTGATGTTTTTGCCTGCACGTATATCTGTGTGAAGGTGTCAGATCTTGGAGTTAAGACAGTTGTGAACTGACATGTGGGTGCAGGAATAGAACCTAGGTCCTCTGGAAGACAAAGTGACAATATTCTGGTCAATGAATACTTCTATTTGTTTGGAGGTTTGTCTGCCTGCCTGCCTGTCTGTCTGCCGGGGATTTTTGTTTGCTTATTTTTGAGGCAAGGTCTCAGGTAGCTCAGGTTATCTTAGACCTCCTGATCTTCCTGTCTCCACTTCCCAAGTGCTTGAATTACAGACAGGATGCACCACCATGCCTGGCTCTCAGGCAGTGCTTCTGTGTCTAGGGGTCGTGAGGAAAGGTAATTCAGTGTTCACTGTCCCCAAGAACCAAAACACTGTTGGATGAGATGCTGTTGGAACAGTAAATAAATAACAGTTTAGGGCTGTTGTCTTTTTGTTTATTCTAGTCTTGTTGTATGAGTGTGCGCCTCGGTGTAAGTTTGCACCACATGTGTGCAGTCCCCATGGAAGCCAGAAGAGGGCACTGGGTCCCCTGGAATTGAAGTTACAGCGGGTTGTGAGCCACCATGTTGGTGCTGGGAATCAAACCCAGGTTCTCTACAATAGCAGTCAGTGCTCTTAACTGCTGAGCTACCTCTCAGCCTAGTTTTAGCTTAACAGACACGCTGTGGAGCCACAAAGAAGGGAACTCCAAAGGACATGACAGTAAGACAGGCCACTGTAAGCCCGGCAGACCATATAAACCAAAACCTGTCAACAAAAGAAGGGTCAGCTGGGCGTGGCCGCACATGCCTGCAATCCCAGCATTCCAAAAGCAGGGGCAGGAGGACTGCCCATGAGTCTGGGGGCTAACCTGGTCTATATATACACTGAGCTCTCAGCCAACCAGGGCTACAGAGTGAGACTGTCTCCAAAAATAAGAGGAAGAAAAGAGAAAACACAAACGGGAAACGGGAAGCGTAGGAAGGGGAGCGAGACTTGGAAGGGCGCAGGAAGATCTTGAGTTTGGGGCCGGCCTGAGTTGAGACTTTTGTCTCGGTGAAAAAAATTTGCACACGGAGACGGACGGGACAAGGTATGACTGGTGACTCCCGGAGCTCGGTGGTTGCGGCCTCTCTGCTCAGGGCTAAGGCCCGGCCCCTCCCTCTTCTCACTTGGATTCTAAGCAGTTTCGTTCGTCTTGATCATGTTCGTGTTCGAGCACACCTGCAGTTCACAGGAGACGGCTCAGTCCATAAAACACTTACTGTGCAAGCATGAAGACCTGCGTTCAGATTCCCGGACACCCACGGGACAAGCCAGGCGTATGTGCTTGACCCAATTCCAGGGGTGTGGGGAGAAGCAAATACAGCCAGCCAGCCTGGCCAACTGGGGAGCTCTGGATTCAGTGTCTCAAAAGACAGAGTACAGAGGTCTGGAAAAAGACACCTGACACCAACCTCTGTCCTCCACATGCGCGTGTACACACACACACGCACACACACACACACACATGCGCGCGCGCGAGCAAAACCAGATATGACTAACTCACAGGTCAGATCTGTCTGATGGCTTCTGTATACTCTGTCACTGTTTCCTATTTCTTGGTCAGACTTCCTAGCTGCCACACTCTCTCAGGAAGTGGGTTCCATAGTGGAGGAGAAACCATAACCCCACAGCTAACTCTGCCTCCACCTGGGTTTTCTAACAGGAAGTGCTCAAAATCCTTCTTGATTAACTGAAACAACTCATCTTCCCCAGCAATACCCAACCGCAGTGGCTTTTCTCCTTTGTCATGGCACTGATTATCCACTGTACCTTCTCAACAGACACAAATGCCTGAGAAGAGTCTCTCCCCACCTTGGACACCTGTGATCCAAGCAGGATCAAAGGGAAGCAGAGGTGAGCAGACTTCTGTGAGTTCAAGCCAGCCTGCTCTATATACAGTTCCAGGCCAGCCAGAACTACAGTCTCTCTCTCTCTCTCTCTCTCCTCTCTCTCCTCTCTCTCTCTCTCTCTCTCTCTCTCTCTCTCACACACACACACACACACACACACACACACCCTGTGTGTTCTCATTTCACATGTCAAATGCTAGCAAACTCTCTTCATAATCAGAATAATGACCTTCTGTCCCATTCACACCGACGATGCCCCTGGACACCTCTTCCTGCCCATGAAAGGCCGTGTTCACCCATCCATCCACATATCAGACGCCCCACCCTGCTGCTCCCTTCCCTCACACTCTCCTGTCTGCTCGGGTACTGGGCTCTAACACTAGGTGCTTCCTGTGGGGCGATTAGCATAGATTCATAAAGTTAATAAACCTCAGGCAAGGACCTTTACTCGTCTTGGAGCTCACCACCTCCTTCTACCCCTCCCTGCCTAACTCCTCAACTTAGTGACTCACCTTACTCTCAAAAATCCAAAATCCTGAGCCCCTGGAGCTGCTGTAGTCAGCTTCCTCGGAGAGCCTCGGCACAGACCTGTGACCTCATGATGCAGATATGACTGGCACTGTTAGTGAGGGCAGAGCCTCTACAAACATCTGTAGTTCTGTTGGCCAGATATGAAGGGTGACACTTCACTGAGGGGGGTGGCTGTCTCTGTCTGTTAATAGCTTCTCCTTACAGACATAGGACACAGGATTAATGATCTCTCCAAAGGAGGACCCCGTGAGGACAGACGCCCGGCTCCATGGTATACATAAACAGGAGCTGAGGCTTGAAAGCAGATCCAGATAAGCTCAGGCCATTTGGGAAGGAGGGGGGCTTTCAAACTGAAGCGAAGGGGCTCTAATTCAACGATAGGAGTAATTAACAAAGACCTTGTAGTTGTTTCATTTGTTCTTTATGTTAATTGGGGAAAAGCTGGTCAGTCATGTATCTATGCTTTATTTTATTTTTTAATTTATAATCAGATTTTTTTTTAAAAATTATTTCTTTTTACAAGACAGGGTTTCTCTGCAGCGCTGGCTGTCCTGGAACTTGCTCTGTAAACCAGGCTGGCCTCAAACTCAGAGATTCCACTGCCTCTGCCTCCTGGGATTAAAGCCATGTGCCACAACACTGGTTGTGTTTTGTTTTTTAAATTAAGAAAATAAGCCTGGCAGTGGTGGCACATACCTTTTATCCCAGCACTTGAGAAGCAGAGGCAGGAGGACCTCTGAGTCTGAGGCCAGCCTGGTCTACAGAGCTAGTTCCAGGACAGCCAGGGCTACATAGTGAAACCCTGTCTCAAAAACCAAAAATAAAGAAAGAAAGAAAATAAAACCCTACGGGCTAGAGAGATGGCTCAGTGGTTAAGAGTACCTGCTGCTCTTCCAGAGGACCTGGGTTTGGTTCCCAGCACCCACAGCAGGCAGCTAACAAACACCTATAAACCCAGCTCTAGGATCTGACGCCCTCTTCTGGCCTCTTCAGACGCTGAACACATGCACAAACCCATACACACAAAAATAAAAATGGTAAAAAAATCTTTGTGGGGAGGGAACAGAGAGAAAGAGAGGGAGAGAGAGGGGAGAGAGAGAGGGGAGAGAGAGAGAGAGAGAGAGAGAGAGAGAGGAGAGAGAGAGAGAGAGAGAGAGAGAGAGGATAATACACCACCTCACACAGTCACACAGCTGCTCTGAGGAGAGAATGAGATGCTGTTTGTGGAGTTCCCAGCACAACGCTTAGCCTATCCTAAGCCACCAGAAGCTTGGGGCAGAGGGAAGGAGGTGGGGGTGCTTAGGTAAGCTATTCTAAGAGATAGACTGGACTTGCCATGCAAGCATGAAGACTTGTATTCAGATCCTCAGAACCCACTAAAAAAAAAAAACCACAAACCAGCCTGTGTGCAGTAATGCACACCTGTAAGCCCAGAGCTGGGGAGGCAGAGACAGAAGGGTCCCCAGAGCCTGCTGGTCAGCCAGGCTAGTCTACTCCATGAGCTGCAGGGTCAGTGAGAGACCCTGTCTCAAAAGAATAAGGTGGAGAGTGACAGAGGAAAACACTTGATGGCAGCCTCTGGGTTTTTCACATGCACACGTGTATTTACGCACACAATTCTGCGAGGCTGATTTGACTAATTAAATCACCCTCATTGTAGGCAGTTGGAATGTTGCAGATCCACAGTTGTCCTAGCGAGGTTTCTATTGCCGGGATTAAACACGATGACCAAAAGACTTGGGGAGGAAAGGGTTTATTTCAGCTACAGCTTACAGCTTACAGTCCATCATGAAAGGAGGTCAAGGCGGGAATTCAAGGGGAGGATCCCGGAGGCAAGAATTGAAGCAGGGACTATGGAGAAGTATTACTTATTGGCTTGATCTCCATGACTTGCTCAGTCTACCTGTTTATGCACACCAAGACCACCAGCCCAGGGGTAACACGGCCCACCATGAGCTGGGCCCTCCCACATTAATCACCAATCAAGAAAATTCACCACTGCTTGCCCACAGGTCAATTCTGATGGGGGAGTTGTCTCAGCTGAGGCTCCCTCTTCCCAAATGACTCTAGCTTGTGTCCGGTTGACAAAAACTACCCAGCTCACTAGGCAGATTATCTCAGCCTTTACCAGCTGTCCCACACCTCCGTGTGACCTAACAGCCCGTGACCGTCCTAGAACTCAGAGGAAATGTGCAGAAGGTCATCTACATCAAAAGGATTCATGGACTAACCAAGGTAAGGATCTGCTAAGGGCACCGGAACCTCGGGTCACATATCTACGTCCCTCTCTCCTGGAGGAAGTACTCTTTCCAGGCCTCCA